CTGCGGTTGCTAAGACACTTAATTAGAAATGTTTGCAGATTTGGCTTAAATTGGGTTATTTCCTTTAAATGAGAATGTGTTTTACACTATCATTAGGAATGCTGTGGTATTGGCTAGTTATGTAAATGCTAATCCAACTGCTCACTTTATTGCCTGCCAGACTTCAGTGGTATTAGAATTGGCTATTTGGAAAGTTAATGGTTATATTCTGAGTGTATGTGTGTGTGTATATGCATGCAAAGCATATTTAAACTTTTCATTTCTGCCTTTTTAATTCTTTTTCAGGGACTATGGATATAAGTATCCTCAGTGTTTATCTACTTTAGAGACCCATTAAGATGCTTGACTCTAGTTTTTGCAATCCTAGGAATATACATGCATCTGCAAAATATTTAGTTGAGCTTATTTCTTTATTTCATATTAGGTATCCCTGCTTGGGATTTTTTTTTCTATTTACATTTTTCTTTGAGCCCTGGAGAAGTGCCTATTGCTTACATAGCTGGTGAACTGCAATTACTTGTCCTAATGCAAAGTGTGAGTTGGCTTCTCCTGTTTAATCCCAAGTGCCTGCCTACTGTCTTGCACTTGAACTTTTTCATAAATATTGAGAATTAACCCATGTATGGAAAATAGACATCTGCATATAGGTAGCAGACAAAGACCTTAACTTGATCCTTTCTCTTGAAAAGTTCAGTTAAATACTTCAGAATATTCCTTATAGAACTGTCTGCTGTATAGAATTGGCACCTGCGCTTCGACCAGCTGTCCAGGCAACATACACTGTATTGTCCATTTCTTCTTAAATTTAGGTACATGTATCCCATTAATACTTTCCAGAACTGTATTAAATTCAGTTATGTTTTTATCATTTTAGCCATATTCTTTCTGGCTAGAGTATGGATATGTTGAAGTTTATTCAGATGGTAGAATCCTTCCATAGGAAAGACTGTGGCCTCAGGGTCCTAGAGATAAAATGGGATAGAAATGTAAAATAATGGAGGTCATATCCTGTTCTTTTTGATATAAGGGGGACTGAACAGTGTATGTAGCAAGCCCTATTTTGAATGGTGTTTTTAATAGTAAAGACTGTGATCACATCTGAACAATTAGAGGAGCCCAAAGTATTTTTGACATGTTTCTTCAATAATGTTTTTTCATACTACAATGGAAAATATTTTTGAACTGGAGTTGTAAAGGTTGTAAAAGCTAATATAGCGTTGACTTTTGGTCTTTTGAAGAAAGTACAAACAGTCCTTTAGGTATTAGAATTCTTTAGCTTTGCCTACTGTATCTCTTTGGATTTTTGCTCATGCACTTAATCTGAGCCATGTGTGTTATAGTGGTATAAAAGTTATATTTTCACAATTTATGAAATCCCATTTGATAAGAGGAAAACCTAATTTACATACAGAAGAATGAGGTTAGCAACGAGTTTTGTCCTGCTGGGGGAGGCAGTATTTTCAGTTTTAAAAGTTCTCTGAAGGGGAGAAAAAGTACACTGTAGAAGGTTCTACATTGGAATACAGATGCACACGTAGCTTTACCCTTTATTGTTACTGGTCTTTTCACTTGGAGGTACATTTAGTTGTTTTAAAAAATCACTCCTCATCACTATCCTCTTTTCTCTTCATCATGTCCTCAGGGATGCTGTCTTCCTTCTTTAAGATACTAATGCCACCATAAGCTTATGAACTGCCACCAGCCTGGCCCATGCCAGCCAACGCCAAGCTGTGCTAGTGCTGCATCCCTGCCCAGATCCATCTCTTAGGAGCGAGGAAGTAACATGACACTGTGCAGCAGGCCAGACTTTCCATCCCCTTCACATCTGTTACAGTTACAGTTGTCTATTGTGCCTGGAGAAGGAGAGAGAGGCAGGGGAGTCTGGGCCTTCTTCGAGAGGGTGAACAGGCATGTAGATACCGTGCATTGTATGTTGAGACTTTGAGAAGGCTTTTGACAAAATCTCTCATCAAAGACTTTGTAAACTTAATAGGGTTGTGGGTTAAGAGGACAGATCCTGTCATAGGTAGATAACTAATTAAAGGACAGGAATAAATGTGTACAGTACTCAGATATTCCTTCTAGAAGAAGGAGGACTGACAAAATGATGGATTTTTAAAAATTCTGTTTCTTTGTATAGCTGGAGGCAATTACTATAGCAGTTTTGTAGAAGTGTAAAAAATAGAATTTAAAAATAAAAGATTCTTTAAAAAAGATTGAACTTTTTTTAAAAAAAGGAATAAGTAGTTTTTGTATCTCTATATTCTTTTTTGATACCATGCTTAGTTCAAGCTCTGTAGGTCTTTGAACACATAGCCCTAATATCTCATTTTGCAGCAATCTGAGCATTTAATCTAGATTACTGTTCAGGGACAGGCTTAAACCTAATGTTGCATTGGGCCTTCAAATTCCTTAAATTGGGCCCGTCTTTAGCAAAGTTGAGGGTTTGGAAGGTTTGAGAATAAGATTAAAGTACTTAATTAAATGTATAAACCACCTCATTCCAGAGATTCTAGGTGGTATACAAAATAAAACACAGTGCAAGGACCAATATAATAAACAATAAAACTGCAGCCAGGAACAAGCAATAATGTCACATATTGTCCTCTTCCTGCTAATCAACAAAGGTCTTCTGGAAAAGCCAGGTTTTAACTATTTTCTAGAAGACCATAAGAATGGGGGCCATTCTTGCCCCAGGAGTAGATTCCAAAGGACAAGAACAGCTGCCAAGAATGTAGTTCTTAAAAGGTGGTGATCTTGGGGATTCTATGGAGGCAGTGGTATTATTTAGCTAGTTTGCTTTGGGTCTTATGTACCAGTCGTTAAACATGTCTTCTACAGAAGAGACAGAGGCTCAGCAGCTTGAACCTGAGTGAAGATCTCTCAATCTCCAGAAGCAGGAGTAGGTCTGGGCGGGATATCTGATTTTTGCTGCTTGTGTGTCCCCACTGTTTCTAATTAGTGCTACGGCAGTCTGTGAATGAGGCTCCTCCCAAGATGCAGGGGCAGAGACCAGCAGGCCAGCCAAGAGAGGAGGAGGAGCAGGGTGCAACCCATTGTTGCCAAATATAGATAACACCTCTGTGGAAACTTGTCTTCTCTTGCTGGGCATAATTTGGTAGAAAAGCAAAGGGAAAGGTTAAAAAAGGGATTGGGGTGGGAGTGGGGGGAATGGGCATTGGTAGGGGGAGAAATAAGAAAATGTGTGATGATATGCAAATGCCATGATGGGTACTTTTGTTAGATGTTAGGATGCAGGTACAGGAGAATGGCATTTGTGTAATGACATGACCACTTGTACATCATTTTGGCGGCATGGTGGTTTGCTGTGGATGCCTCTGGTGGGGGGATTCTAGTTCAGAGATAGAAATCCTCCTGAGGGCCAGAAACTTCCCTGTTCTAGGGCTCTTGCTGGACCTGCTTAGAAGGTAGA